GTTAAAGGCATTTCCATGATGGAAATCTCTTTTTCACAAATGGATTTAAAGAGCACACAGACAACTTTTTTATGTTTATCGTACAATTAAACCATTTCAAAGATTTATCCAAATGGGTACGAATGCAAGCCTAACAACTGTGTGAAAGCAAGCCAAAATGATTTACATAACTCTACAATCAATCTCATTAGTGATCTCCTTTATTCAAACTTTAAAGGGCTCTAGTTTTTCTGTAAGGATCTGCCAGCCCCGAAATGCTTCCACTTTATAAAAATTCAAAAGTTGCTGGGCGTGGTGGTTCATGCCTTTAATCCCAGCACTTGGGAGGAAGAAGCAGGGGGATCTCTGAGAGTTTGAGGCCAGCCTGGTCTGCAGAGTCAGTTCCAGAGCTGGAGCTACAGGGAGACCCTGTCTCAAAAAGACCAAAAATAAAATAAATAATAATAAATAAAATAAATATATTTTAAAAAAGAGGTATACAGTATTTTGACTTAACTAATTTGTTTTCTAATACATTTTATAGCTCATCTTTGGGTGAAAAATTGCCAGGAGCTTCTGCCATCCACCTACAACAAGCAGCGCTTTGACCAACCCTTAGAGGCTTCCACCTGGCTGAAGAATTTTAGAACTACAAATGAGCGCTTCCTGAGCAAGGTGACAGGACTTCCTGGAGCCAGTTTGGTGCAACATGACCATTAAATTGATTGTATCATCTTTGTGCCCTGAGTACTTGGTGCACTATAGAGAATTAGCACTGCAATCTGTAATAAATATGCATTATTGTATTTCTTTTATGCTTTTTGCTTATAGTGGGGCTCAGAACTTAAAATTTGTCATTGTAAAGAGGCAGTAACAGTAATCTAGTCTCACATATTGGCTAGTAAGATAAAAACTAGATTGATTCACTAGTGTTTGTAAGATACAGCCTGGCTGGGTGTGGTGGCACAGGCCTTTAATCCCAGCACTCTGGAGACAGAGGCAGCTGGATCTCTGTAACATCAATGCCAGCCTGCTCTACATTGTGAGTTCCAGGCAGCTACAGGGAGACCCTGCCCCAAAAAGATAAAAAAACAAAACAAAAGATGCAGCCTGAGATCTCCCACAAGCTTATTTTCTCTAGATAAGATCATCTTTGTGAAGAATCCAGAAAGATTGATAAAATTATTCTTTCTAATTGTGTTTTGTTTTATCACTATGTAGCATGGACTAGCTTCAAACCTACTGTGTAACCCAGGACTTACAGTCCTCCTGCCTCAACAAGCATGCACAACACCTGTCACTCCAGTGTTTCTAGACTAAGGCTCTTCAACTCTAGATATAAAGACCCACATAGAAGCTTATTATTAGTGTAGGGTGGGCTGAGCTTGAAACTTGGGACCCACATGGTGAAAGGAGAAAGCCAACTCCCACAAGTTGCTCTCTGACCCCTACATGTGGATTGTGACTCACATACACACACACACACACACACACACACACACAAATTCATTAAAAACAATGCAGGCTGGTTGTGGCTCAGTGGTAGAGCACTGGCCTAGCATCCTTGAGAATCTGGATTTGATCACTAGTACTTCAGGCAGGGGTGGGATGATTGACAGGGATACATGCCAAAGTGCTGTTTTATGCCTTTGTAGCCAGCCAAGTATAGTAGTTCATATCTGTAATCCTAGTCTTTAGAAGGCTCAAAAAGAGGAATTGTCTTTGAGTTGAAGGCCAACCTACACTGTGATGTGAAACCCCATCTCAGAAAGCTCCCCTTCAAAGAAAAAAATCCAGTTAAAGGTGGAAGGCATTCATTTCTGGACTGCACCTTCTTACAGGGCCTGAAAAAGGAGTCTAAAAATAGCTTCTGTTAACCTTAACCTCCTACCTTCTTGACCTGGAATGGCTTCAGCCTTAAAAAAAAAAAAAAAAACCTTTTTTGTTGTTTTGTTGTTGTTTGCTTTTAGATAAAAGTTCAAGAGAAGTATGTCTGGAATAAGAGAGAAAGCACTGAGAAAGGCAGTCCTCTGGGAGAAGTCATTGAACAGGTACAAGAATGACAGCTGTGTGCCATGTCCTAACCAGAGAAGGCGTCTTACCACTGTACACCCTTGCTTTTCTCCACAGGGCATAACACGGGTGAGGAATGCCACAGATGCTGTTGGGATTGTGCTGAAGGAGCTAAAGAGGCAGAGTTCCATGGGGATGTTTCACCTCCTGGTTGCAGTAGATGGAGTCAATGCTCTCTGGGGAAGGACCACACTGAAAAGAGAAGATAAAAGCCTGGTAGGAAGATTCTGCTTTCTCTGCTTCCGTCTCGTACAAGGTCAGATGCTTGGCCCTGTACACCATGAAATGCTTTTTTACCCTGAATGTTTGACTTAAGATGCAGAGCGAGCCAGGTATGTTAGCACATGCCTTTAATCCCAGCACACAGGAGACAGAGGCGGGCAGATCTCTGTGAGTTCAAGGCCAGTCTGGTCTACATAGCGAGTTCCAAATGAGCTGAGGGCTATAGGGAGACCCTGTCTCAAAAAAGACCAAAAAAAAAAGAGTAACAATGTAGCTCTGTGATGGAGCAATTCAGTGAGACAATTCAGTGAGACAGAGAGAGAATATGAAATAACACCTAAGAGAAAATGGGGGATGGAGAGATGGCTCAGCAATTAAGAGTGCTCTTGCAGAGGACATAGGTTCAGTTCCCCAGCATCCATATGGTAGCTAGCAACCTAGCAACCTTCTGTGGCTTCAGTTCCAGCTGATCTAGTGCCCTCTTCTGGATTCCATGGGCAAAGCATCTACAAACAAAATAAAAATGAAAATCTTTTTAAGGTTAAAAAAAAATGTATTTTTGTTTGTTTGTTTGTTTGTTTGTTTGTTTGTTTGTTTTTTGTCCTTTTGAGACAGCCTCCTTGTAGCTCCAGCTGTCCTGGAACTCACTGTGTAGACCAGACTGGCCTTGAACTCACAGAGATCCGCCTGCCTCTGCCTCCCGAGTGCTGGGATCAAAGGCGTGTGCCACCACGCCCAGCTTTTTTTTTTTTTTTTTTCTTCCCTCTCTTTTTTTTTTTTTATTTATTTTATTTTTTATGTATATGCATGTATTGGCTGCACGTAGGTAAGCAGACCGTTGTTGTGCACAGAGATCATAATGGGCTGTCGAATCCCCTGGGACTGGAGTTATGGACAATTGTTAGCTGCCATGTGGGTGCTGGGATTCGAACCTGGGTCTTCTGCAAAAACAGTCTTCTTAACTGCTGAGCCATCTCTCCAGCCCCTTCTTTTTGGTTTTTTAAGCCAGGGCCTTATCTGTCTTGGAACTCCCTGTGTAGACCAGGCTGGCCTCAAAAGTGTTGGAATCAAAGGTGTGTGCCACCACCCTGAGTTTTGTCTGTTGATATTTTTGGAAATATCAAGGGAAGGAGGTGCATTTGAGGCACTAAGCAGTAGAGATGTCTTAGTCTCTCAGTAGTCCTTCTTCCCTCTCTCCCTCCTCCCTTCCCTCCCTCCCTCTCACTCTTATTGCAGAGAAGCTACATTCAGGGACTATGATTATACAGTAGTTGAAAACTTTTTTCTGATTGTCAATTCAGTTGTCTTGGGAACAGCCAGAAAAGTAAAGTCATACTTCTTTCCCCTCTTGTTGACAACATGCAGATTGCCCCAGAGGAACTAGCTCTTGTTCACAACCTGAGAAAGATGGTGAAAAATGATTGGGTAAGTACCTGTAAATGCTTAAGACATTGCAGAAAGAAGTGTTTGCATTTTTATCATACTCTACTGCTTCATTGCTAGTATGTTCCATTCTTTAATTTTATGGCCAGAATGTTCTTTTATCTTCTGTAGCTTTTAAGAAGTTAGGCCTGAGCTGGGTGTGGTGGTGCATGCCTTTAATCCCACCACTTGGGAGGCAGAGGCAGGCTGATCTCTGTGAGTTCAAGGCCAGCCTGGTCTACATAATGAGTTCCAGGACAGCTGGGGCTACAGGGAGACCCTGTCTCAAAAAGACCAAAAAAAAAAAAAACATAGTATCCCTGGCTGGCCTGCAACTCACAGAGATGTGCCTACCTCTGCCTCCCCAGTACTGGGATTAAAATACATTTCGTTTTTAATCTTTCACTGAAGTAAATTTATTCAAAACCATTTTAGGGCTGGTGAGTTGGCTCAACAGGAAAAGGCACCTGGTGACCGACTTCTATCCCCAGAACCCACCCACATGGTAGAAGGAGAAAACTGATTACCACAAGCTGTCCTCTGATCTCCATATATACACCATGGCATGCACACACCCACAATAAGTACATCAATAAATAAATGTTCCAAAAATTCAAATAATTTTATTTAAATACTACTGGCCTAAATTTAAGTTGTTTGTAATTATTCAAAGTGACTTGGCAGCAAGTGCCTTTGTTCTCTAAGCCACCTTGCCTGCCTCTCTTTTTGTTTGTTTGAGATATGGTCTCATTTTGTAGCTGAGGCTGACTGTCGTAGAATTCACTCTGTAACCCAAGGTGGCCTGAACTCCTAATCTTCCGGCTTCATTTAGTCTCTTAAATGCTAGGATTACAGGCATGTACTACCACCTGTGACTTCAATGTTTTGGGATTTTGTTGTTGTTGTTGTTGTTGTTTTTGTTGTTTTTATGGGGCTGGAGAGATGGCTCATCGCTTAAGAACACTGGTTGTTCTTGCAGAAGACCCGGGTTCGAATCCCAACACCCACATGGCAGCTAACAACTGTCCCTAACTCCAGTTCCAGGGAATCCGACAGCCTCTTCTGTCCTCCTCCGGCATTCACTACATGTAGGCAATACACACATGCACATAATAATAAATAAAATATTTTTTAAAAATTTTATTTTATGTGTATGCATGTAGGTAAGTGCACCCATGTAGTGCAGTGCCCGAAGAGGACAGAAGAGGCTGTCGGATCCCCTGGAACTGGAGTTACAGACAGTTATTAGCTGCCATGTGGGTGCTGGGATTCGAACCCAGGTCTTCTGCAAGAACAACCAGTGTTTTTAACTGCTGAGTCATCTCTCCAGCCCCTATTTACTATTTTTATTTTCTGTGTATGAGTGTATTGCCTGCATGTGTGTGAGTGTACTTGTGCCATGCAATACTGCGGAGGTCAGAAGAGGGCTTTGGATTCCCCTGGAAATGGAGTTAAGGATGGTTTGCAGCCACCATGTGGGTGCTGGGAATCGAACCTGGATCCTCTGCAAGAGCAGTCAGTGCTCTTAACCATTGAGCCATCTCTCCAACCCCAGATTGTGATAATTTTAAGATCATGTAGCAATTTAATGTGAGAGGCAGATCTAGAATCAATAACTTAATTTTGTTGCACTAAATCACACTGCCATGACACTGTTGGGCAAAAAACCTTTAGATGATTATGTGGCATGTCTGTAATTTCCTTCTTTTTAATAATTCAATCATGTTTCTTTTTCTTTCAGCATGGCGGTGCTGTTGTGTTGACTTTGAGCCAGACTGGGTCTCTCTTTAAGCCCCGAACAGCCTATTTGCCACATGAACTCCTAGGAAAGGTCAAGTCATGGAAAAACTTGTTACCTCTTTCATCATCATTCTGTCTAGTGACTCCTTTTTTTTTTTTTTTTTTTTTTGGTGTTTATTGGTGGTGGGGGTGCACACCTGAGCCCACATATAAAAGGGCAGAGAACAACTTCAAGGAGTTGTTTCTTTCTCTCCTTCATGTGGGTTCCAGGAATCCAACTATCCAACTCAGGATGTCACACTTAGCAACAGGTGCCTTTACCTGCTGAGCTGGTTTCCCAGCCTAGTCTCCTAGTAAATCAGACAGAGTTTGTATTCTTATGTGCCTTTCACCTCAGTTTCCTGAAATGTTAACTTTATTGCATTGGTTTTATCTTCCGCCCCACATTTTTTCTTCAAAAATTATGTTAATAGTAACCTGAATTTGAAAAATTTGTCTTCTCTCTTTTTTTTTTAATTTTATTTATTTATTTTTATTTTATGTGTACGCGTGTATTGCCTGCATGTAGGTAAGTGCACCTATGTCATGCAGTACCCTTGGAGGTCAGAAGAGGCTATCAGATCCCCTGGGACTGGAGTTATAGACAATTCTTAGCTGCCGTGTGGGTGCTGGGATTTGAACCCAGGTCTTCTGCAAAAACAACCAGTGTTCTTAACCACTGAGCCATCTCTCCAGCCCCTTGTCTTCTCTCTTGTATAATTGTTTCTTCTCTATATTGTGGATTTGTTTTGAGACGTTCTGTTATATTTTTTGTGATTCTGGGGACTAAACCCAGAGCTTCGTGCCTGGTAGGCAAGTACTTTACTGCTGAACTGTCCCCCAGCCCCAGTGTGGATTTCTAGATTCTTAACTAGTGAGTACTAAGCTTTTACTGCTTTTTTAAAAGATTATTATTTTTAATTTCATATGTGTCTGTGTGTGGGCCTGTGTATGTGAGTACAGGTATGGGGACCAGAGGTGTCGGATCCCTGTGGAGTTGGACTTACAGGCAGTTGTGAACTCCCCAACATGGATGTGGGGAACTGAACTGAGGTCCTCTTGCAAGAACAGTATGTGCTCTTAACCATGGAGCCATCTCTCCAGGGCCCTGCCCCCCCCACCACCACCACTCTTTTTTTTGGAGGGGGCAAATCTTTTTCTCCCTGCAGCCCCAGCTGGTCTGGAACTCAGAGAGATCTGTCTGCCTCCGCCTCCCAAGTGCTGGGACTGAAGGCATATACCACCATGCCGGGCTCCTTTATCTCTTTTTTAAATAAAATATTGTAACCATGTAAGGCAGGCCCCACTCTGGTCTTGAACTTGTGATCTTCTGTGCTGATACCCAGACCCCGCCTCCTTTCTCTCTCTCTCTCTCTCTCTCTCTCTCTCTCTCTCTCTCTCTCTCTCTCTCTGTCTCTGAGACACGACCTCCTTGTAGCCACAGCTGGGCTGGAACTTCCTATGTAGCCCAGGCTGGCCTCAGTCTCAAAGAGATCCACTCACCATGTAGACCAGGCCATTCTTGAACTCACAGAGATCGCCTGCCTCTGCCTCCCAAGTACTGAGATTACTTTATCTCTTTTTTAAATAAAATATTGTGACCATGTAAGGCACCACATGTACAGTTCAGTATGAGACAGCATATCTGAAAGTAAGGAGTAGAGGAGAACAGAAGGGAAAGACCCTGTTCTCAAAGGAGAATTTCTCTTCTGACTTGTCACTGAATTAATACTGTATCCTTTATCCTTTTTCTTCTCCAGGAAGGATTTGATGACCTTGATCCCTTTCTTCCCATCCTGATTTCCAACTATAACCCAAAGGAATTTGAAAGTTCCTTTCAGTATTACTTAGAGAACAGTTGGCTTCAGCATGAGAAAGGTCAGTCATCAGCCAAGGCTTTGTGTTCACAACACAATTCCACTGCAGCAGGGTATGAAAAAAAGCAACTTATGGAAATAAGTTATTTTGGCTCACTGTTTCAGAGGATTCATTAACAGTTACTTGGTTCCATGTTATTTGACATGTTGGAGAGTGGTACATCCTGGTGATGGGAGCATGTGGCAGAGGGTATTCACTTCATTGCAGACAGGAAGCAGAGAGAGACAGAAAAACACCCTGGACAAGGTATAGCCCTCAGGACACTTCCCTGGTAACCTACTCCCTTCTGATCCCCACATCCTGAAGCTTTGAGAACCTCCCAAAACAGAAATAGCAGCTGGGGAACCACGCAGTCATTACATGAGCCTGTGGCCTACATCTCATATTCAAGACATGACACAGGCCCTTGCTCTCTTCTTCCCTCTACAACAAGTAGCTTGTAATTTCTATTTCATCTTTTTTTTCCAAGTCCAGCTACTGGGAGGTTTCTACATGTTTGAGTTGTTGCAATACTCTATTGGTTTTTTTTGTGTGTGTGTTTTGTTTGTTTTTGGTCTTTTTGAGACAGGGTCTCCCTGTAGCCCCAGCTGTCCTGGAACTCACTGTGTATACCAGGCTGGCCTTGAACTCACAGAGATCTGCCTGCCTCTGCCTCCCGAGTGCTGGGATTAAAGGCAATGCCCGCGGAGGACAGAAGAGGCCATCAGATCCCCTGAAACTGGAGTTATGGACAGTTGTTAGCTGCTATGTGGGTGCTGGGATTCAAACCCGGGTCTTCTGCAAAGAACATCCAGTGTTCTTAACTGCTGACCCATCTCTCCAACCCCTACTCTATTATGGCATTTATTCATTCATTAAACTTCAGTTGAGAGACTCATGTGCTCAGACACTCACAGAATGATTCACACTGAAAGGCTGGCACAAAACCAGATCTTTGTCATACCTACCTTCATGTATGTTTAGAAATGGTTAACTTTGTTTTTTGAGACAGTGTCACTATATGGTCAGGCTTACCTCAGTTTCACCTGGTCAACTGTCTCACCCCCCTGAGGTGGGGTCACAGGCATGCCCTGCCACCTGGTTTCAGACACTTAACTCTTAATTCCAGATTTGATCCACTTGGATGGAAAGCATTCAGGCCATTTATGTTTGCCTCTTCTCTGTATGTACAAAAAGATAATAAAAAGTAAAAGGCTCTGTCACTGGATAACAGAAGACTCATAATAACTGGTTGTAATTCTAGCACTCTGGAGGTAGAGGCAGAAGGATCAAAAGTTCAAGATATTCCTTAGCTACAGTAAACATTTCGAGGCCATTCTGAGCTATATGAGACCCTGTCTCTAATAATAATTATTGGTTCTAGCATGTACAAAGCTCTGGGTTTGAATAAAACCCAAAATAAAAAAACATTTATTAAATACTGATAATTAAAGTTTATTACTAGAGAGGGAAGAGTAAAAGTAGCAGCACTGTGGTAGATGGGGTAGGAGTAAGATTGTGGGCTCGGTGCATCAGAGCACTGTCTGGATAGGGGAGCTCTGTTTACACGTTGGTGTAGAAGGAAGAAACTGACACTTGTGTATTTGACTCCATTTTAGCTCCTACAGAAGAAGGGAAGAAGGAGCTACTGTTCCTAAGTAATTCCAACCCTGGGCAGCTGGAGCGGCTCTGTGCCTGCCTGTAAGCCACAGACACAGTGTATGTGGAGGACAATGGACATTTTCTTCAAGCAAGACTGTCCCATGAGGGAGTCCCACTATATATAGGTAGAGCGCCCTGGACTTACAGATTTAACAGGTGATGCTGGGCCTTCATTGATAGGATTCCTTATGAAGTTACTGAACACATGGCAAAAGGATGTCCAAGATTGTTCTGAAACTAATAGCTTTTTTACATTGTTTTCATATTTAAGATAATCATGGATGATTTCCTTAAAGGAAAATAAATATATTTCTGAATGTGTTGTGTTAGATTTCTAATAAGGAAAGAACCTTCACTTCAGATTAATTGAAGTTTTCTGGCATTCTGTTTGTTGAAATCTGAAGAAACTTAATTCTACAGAAATTTCCAGGTGTTCTGTCTTCTAGACATTGATCAATTCAGATCAAGATTCACAGAAAATTCCTCTCTCCAGGACACTTACCTCTTGCTTCCTGTTTGGACTTTTATCCCTTGATACTGCAGAGTGTTAACTGTTAGCTCCTTTCCACAGATCCCTGAGAGAATTCAGCATTACCTTCTACAGTATACATGCTATATGATAAGTTAACTCTAAGGCACATAGAGTTTTATCTGTGCATACAACCAAAGAACTAAAGAAATAAGGATTCAAATCCCAAGTGCTAGGATTAAAGGCGCACACCACTGTGCCTGGCCATTTTTTAAGTTTTTATATATATTGTGTGTGTGTGTTCACACATGCCTCAGTGCACACATACAAACAAGACAACTGTATGCAGTCCTCTCCTTCCACACTTCTGTGTGTCTGGAGATAGAATTTGGGCTGTTGCACAGCAAGCACTTTAACCTGCTTAGTCATCTTGCCAGTCCCACAAGAGAATTTAATCTTCTCACCATACTCAGGTTGTTGGTATGTTTTAAAGAGTCAGGGGTTTATTGGTTATTGTTGAAGATCAGGTCTCACCCAGGCTGACTGGAGGTAGAGGCAGGCAGATCTCTGTGATTTTGAGGCCAGCTGGATCTACAGAATGAGTTCCAAGCCAGCTAGGGCTGCATAGTGAAACTGCTTTTTCAAAAAAAGAGGAAAAAGAAAAACAAGCCAGGCGTAGTGGCACATGCCTTTAATCCCAGCACTCGGGAGGCAGAGGCAGGAGCATCTTGGAGTTTGAGGCCAGCCTGGTCTACGTAGTGAGTTCCAGGCTAGCTGGGCCTACGGGGAGTCCCTGTCTCCGTAGGTGGGAGCTATTTCCTAGCCACATTTTCTACTAAAGATCAAGCCTGCCAACAGGCTGTAGGTTCGGGTCAGGTCAGTAAATCTGCTAGCAGTGGTACCCTGTAGTTCCTGTGGTCTAGCTGCCATTGCCATGAAAGTAGGCTACAGTGGAGGTTCATAAGTGCAGTGGTTTACCCAAGTGTCCTCCTCTGGTGTGATTTAGGTTTTATCTATATTTGTAGAGCCTGTGATGACACTTTTATAGATAAGATATGCTTCTCCTTTCTAAACTATTTTGAGTGGGTGCTTAATTTTAAAAATGGCCTGAGAAGCCGGGCATGGTGGTGCACGCCTTTAATCCCAGCACTTGGGAGGCAGAGGCCTGTGGATCTCTGTGAATTCAAGGCCAGCCTGGTCTATGAGTTCCAGACCAACCCCCACCACAGGGAGACCCTGTCTCAAAAACACCAAAAAAAGAAAAACTGGTCAGAAAAATGATGGAACACCAAGGCAGGAAAGAGTATACTTTTGAGCTGGGTGTAGTGGCACATGCTAGTAATCTCAGCACTCAGGAGGCTGAGGCAGGAAGATTGGGAAGTCAAGGCTAGCCCGGGCTGTATAGTGAGAGCCTACTTCAAAAACCACCCACAAGAAAAAGATTTAATGGGACTGGAGAGATAGCTTAGTGGTTAAGAGCACTGACTGCTCTTGCAGAGGACCTGGGTTCTATTTGCAGCACCCACATGGCAGATAATAACCATCCATAACTCCAGTTCTAGGGGAATCCAACACTGCCTTCTGACCTCCATGGGCATTGCACATCACAGGTGCACTTACACACATGCAAACAATACACTCATACACATAAAAAAATTAAAAAATAGGGGCTGGAGAGATGGCTCATCAGTTAAAAACACTGGTTGTTCTTGCAGAAGACCCGGGTTCGAATCCCAGCACCCACATGGCAGCTAACAGCTGTTCGTAGCTCCAGTCCCAGGGGATGCGACAGCCTTTTCTGACCTCCTTGGGCATTGCACGACACAGGTGCACTTACCTACATGCAGGCAATACACGCATACACATAAAAGTAATAATTTTTTTTTAATTTTTAATATTAAAAAAGCCAGGCGTGGTGGTGCACACCTTTAATCCCAACACTCAGGAGGATCTCTTAAATTCCGGACCAGCCTGGCCTACATAGCAAGTTCCAGGCCAGCCAGAGCTACAGTGAGACCTTGTCTCAAAAAAAGTAAATAGGGGACTGGAGAAATGGCACAGTGGTTAGGGACACTTTCTACTCTTGCAGAGGACCTGGGTTTGATTCCCAACACCCATATCAGGTACCATCTGTAACTCCAGTTCCAGGATCCAACACCCTCTTCTGACCTCCGTGGGCATTGAATGTATATGGTGCACTTAGATACATATAGGCAAAACACCCATACAAATAAATATTTAGAAAAAAGTAAATAAATAAATGAAACTTGTAATAAATTCTTACTTCAAAAGGAGGAGAGGTTGGGCCCAATGGCTTAACCCCAGCACTAGAGAGGCAGAAGCAGCCGAATTTCTGTGAGATCCACCCCACATAGCAAGTTCCAGGCCAGCTGGGGCCACAGAGAGACCCTGTCACAAAAAAAAGAGGAGAAGGGTGGAGATGGTTCAGTGGTTTCTCTTGCAGAAGACCCAAGTTGAATTCCCATCACTCACATGGCAGCTAACAACCATCCATAACTCCAGTTCCATGAGAATCTGACCCCGCCTTCTGACCTCTGTGGCATTACACTACATGGGTGCACTTACATACATGCCAGCAATACATCCATACAAATAAAAATAATAAAATATCTTTAAAGGGGGCGGGGAGGACAGTTCAGTGTTGTTCAGTGAGTAGTGTTTGCCTTGCATACTCAAAACCCAGCAGCGCACACAAAAAATAGTTTATGAACTGAACTTTGTCAAATCAAAAACATTTATTCTTTAAAATACACCTTTAAGCCGGGCATGGTGGTGCACGCCTTTAATCCCAGCACTTGGGAGGCAGAGGCAGGCGGATCTCTGTGAGTTCAAGGCCAGCCTGGTCTACATAGTAAGTTCCAGGACAGCTGGGTCTACAGGAAGACCCTGTCTCAAAAAAAGTAAAAAATAAAATACACCTTTAAGACAATGAAAAGGGGGGAAAAAAGATCTGAGAGCATATGTGCTTGCATGAAAGACCGTGTTTCATTAATACAACCTCAAAGTGAGTAAATGGACTGGCAGTGTGACTCAGTTGGTATAGTGCTTGCCCAGCAGGTAGGAAGCCCTGGGTTTGATCCCCAACACTTCTTGGTAGCACACACCTGTAATCTTAGCACACTAGAGGTGGAGGCAGGAGAATCAAAAGTCCAAGTTCAGGACTGGAGCGATGACTCAGTGATTAAGAACACTTGCTCCTCTTACAGAGGATATGGGATCAGTTCCAGCACCCACGTGGCAGCTCACAAAACATCTGTAACTCCTATCCCAGGGGATCCAAAACAACCTTCTGACCTCTGTGGACACTGTGGACACATGGTGCACTCACATACATGCAGGCAAAACATAAAAATAAATCTTTTACCCAATATGGATATCCTGGGAGGTTACTCTCCCTGGGCTCTGTCCTAGTAGCATAGGGGAGCATAGGGCTCTGCCCTATGATGTACCATCCCTTTCCACAAAGTTGGAGATGAAGCTGGGCTTTGAGTCTGCACCTGCATACGACTTCTCAGAGTCCTGTGGACTATGACTGGGGAGACAAACCATGCAGGAAAAAGTCCTAGAACATAAAAATAAAAAATAAATCTTTTTAAAAATCCAAATTCCACACCAGCCTGTAATACATGAGACCCTGTAAAATATGTACAATGGGGGCTGGAGAGATGGCTCAGCGGTTAAGAACACTTGCTGTGGGGCTGGAGAGATGGCTCACTGGTTAAGAGCACTGACTGCTCTTGCAGAGAACTCGGGTTTGATTTCCAGCTACAAACCGTCCTTAACTCCAGTTCCAGGGGAATCCGAAGCCCTCTTCTGACCTCCATGGCATGCATGACACAGGTGTACTCACATACATGCAGGCAATACACTCATACACATAAAATAAAAATAATAAAATATTTTTTAAAAATTAAAAAAAACACCACTGGTTGTTCTTGCAGAAGACCTGGGTTTGAATCCCAGCACCCACATGGCAGCTAATAACTCCATAACTCCAGTTCCAGGGGATCCAACAGTCTCCTCTGTCCTCCGAGGGCATTGCAAGACATGGGTGCACTTACCTACATGCAAGCAATACATGCATACACATAAAAATAAAATTTTTGGCCAGGCATGATGACACATGCCTTTAATCCCAGCACTAGGAAGACAGAGGCAGGCAGAGATCTGTGAGTTTGAGGCCAGCCTGGTCTCCATAGTGAATCCAGGACAGCTGGGGCTACAGGGAGACCCTGTCTCGAAAAGACAAAAAAAAAAATTTTTTTTTTAATTTTTATTTTATGTGTATGACTGTATTGCCTGCATGTATGTGAGTGCACCCATGTCATGCAATGCTGTGGAGGTCAGAAGAGGGCTTTGGATTCCCCTGGAACTGGAGTTAAGGACGGTTTGTAGCCGCCATGTGGGTGCTGGGAAGCAAACCTGGGTCCTCTGCAAGAGCAGTCAGTGCTCTTAACCACTGAGCCATCTCTCCAGCTCCCAGTTTTTAATATTTTATCACATTTGCTTTACCTGTTCATTTGGTGGGTCGGGGGTGTTTCGGGTTGGGGAGGGTGTTTGCTTTTTGGGTTGTTTGGTTTAGTTTTTGTTTTTTTAAGACAAGGTCTCACTATGTAGATCAGGCTGGCCTCAAACTCAGAGATCTGACTGCTTCTGTGCTGCCAGAGTGCTGGGATTAAAGGTATGTGACACCACACATTGTTCATTTGTTTTGAGACAAGATTTCAGAACAGACCTAGCTAACCTTGAACTTGCTGTTTAGCAGAACTTGAACCCTCATTCTCCTAATTCCACCTCTAGAGTGTCCAGAGTGCTGTGCTTACAAGTGTGTGCCATCACACCTGGCTTCTTTCTGTATATTTTATTAGGACACATAAAAGCAAATTGTAGGGCTGGAGAAATGGCTCAGTGGTTAAAAGCACTGGTTGCTTTTGCAGTGGTCAGGTTTCTGATTCCCAGCACCCACATGGCAGCTAAAAGCCGTCCGTAACTCCAGTTCCAGGGGATTAAACACTCTCTTTAAAATAAATAAATTAATGGGGCTGGAGAGATGGCTCAGCAGTTAAGAGCACTGACTACTCTTGCAGAGGACTTGAGTTTGATTCTCAGCACCCACATAGTGATTAACAACCATTTGTAGCTCCAGTTCCAGGAGATCTGAAGCCTTCTTCTGACCTCTGCGGGCGCCCTTACACAAGCAGACAATACCCTCATAGATATAAAATAAAAATAATAAAATTAAATTAAAAATAAGGGAGCTAGAGAGATGGCTCAGCAGTTAAGAATACTGGTTGTTCTTGCAGAAGACCTGGGTTCGAATCCCAGCACCCACATGGCAGCTAACAACTGTCGTTAACTCCAGTCCCAAGGGATCCAAAAGCCTCTTCTGACCTCCGCTGGCGTTGCACGACACGGGTGTGCTTACACACATATATACATAAAAATAAATTTTTTTAAAAAATTAAAAATATAGCCAGGCGTGGTGGCACATGCCTTTAATCCCAGCACTAGGGAGGCAGAGGCAGGTGGATCTCTGTGAGTTCAAGGCCAGCCTGGTCTACATAGTGAGTTCCAGGACAGCTGGGGCTACAGGGAGACCCTGTCTCAAAAAGACCAAAAAAAAATTTTTTAATAAATAAAAATAAACTGTACACATGTAACTCCTTAGCCTTTAAGTATTTTAGCAACTATGTCTTAAAACAGTATTTTCTGGGCTGGAGAGATGACTCAGTGATGAAGAGCATTTATTGCTCTTGCAGAGGATCCAGGTTGCCTTCTAGGACCCTCAGGACAGCTTCCAAGCATCTTTAACTCCAGCTCCAAGAGATCCAGCACCCTCTTCTGGACTCCTGATGGACCAGGCTCACACATGGTGCACATACGTACATGTGGGCAAAAAACTTGTACACATAAAATAAAAATAAATCTTGCTGGACATGGTGGTGCAAGCCTTTTATCCCAGCGCTGGGGAGGCCGAGGCAGGCATATCTCTGTGAGTTCAAGGCCAGCCCGGTCTACATAGGGAGTTCCAAGCCAGTTAGAGCTACAGGGAGACCCTGTCTCAAAAAGACAAAAAAAAAAAAAAAAAAAAAAATCCAAGGTGTGGTGGTGCACACCTTTAATCCCAGCACTCGGGAAGCACAGGCAGGAATAGTGAGTTTGAGGCCAGCCCCACTACAGGGAGACCTTGTCTCTAAAAGACCAAAAATAAAAAATAAATAAATAAATAAGAAATACAGTAATATTTTTCTACATAGGCATAATGTCATGCCCAATGCCCAAGAAACTTAACACTGATACAATAATGCACAGTACCTCTTAAAATTTCTCCAGTTTTCCCAGCATCTCTTATGGCTGTCTACCCCTCACCCCCAGAGTCCAAGATTCAATGAAGAATTCAGCTTACATAGCTCCTTACTGTCAATTTATCTTCAGAACACTTGCTTTTTGTTGTTAGGTAGCATTTTTGAGCACTCTAGACTACTGGTTTGGTGAGGCTGTCCCACAACCTGGATTTGTTTCCCTTGGCTTAGATACAGATGAAAAGGTTTGGGCAAGCATAATGCACAGGAGATGCTTTGTTAGTGCCACAATGTCATTAGTGCATTTTGTTTCATTATTGGTGATGATTAGCAAACCACTAATTTTTATGTCTGTTAGATTTCGCTGTTACATATTTACCCTTTCCAGAATGTAGTTAACCATCTGTGGACTGTTACTTTGGAATCTTGTACCTATCCTGTTTCTCAACAAATTGTCACAGTGGATTTAACATCCATTAAGTCATCTGAATAAATTGATAACTGCAATTTAAATTTAAACCTCTCAGGACTGAGGACCTGGCTCAGTTGGAGGAGCACTTACCTAGTGTGCACAGAGCTCTGGGTTCCCTAGCACCATAAACTTGGTGTGGTAGTGTACACTGTAATCCCAAGACTCAAGGTTGAGGCAGAAGGAGCAGAAACTCAAGGTCATCCTCAGCTACATAGTGACTTTGAGGTCAGCCTGAGCTATATGAAACCCTGTCTGCAAATAAATATAAAATAAGCCGCGCATGGTGATGCACACCTTTAGTCCCAGCACTCAGGAGGCCGAGATAGGTGGATCTCTGTGAGGTCAAGTCTAGCCTACTCACTCTACATAGTGAGTTCCAGGCGAGCTGGGGCTACAGGGAAACCCTATCTCAAAAAAAAAAAAAAAAAAAGACTGTGTGTGTGTGTGTGTGTGTGTGTGTGTGTGATGTAAAATTAACCATATCACTTCTTCATACTTTAAAAACAAAATTTAGTGGGCTGGAGAGACGGCTCAGAGGTTAAGAGCAGTAGCTGTTCTTGCACAAGATTTGGGTTTGAATCCCAGAACCCACATTGTGGCTAGTAATCGTCCACAACTCCAGTTCCAGATCTGACACACTTTTCTGTCCTCCTTAGGCATTGCAGGACACTTGCATACACATACAGTCAACAAAAACAAAAACCGTAGCTGGGCATGCTGGACTCACACCTTTAATCCCAGTACTCAGGAAGCAGAGGAGACAGAAGTCTATGTTCAAAGCCAACTCGGTTTCCATAACAAGTTCCAGCTGAACCAGGGCTACACAGTGAGACCTTGACTCAAAAACAAAAATACCAGCAAAACCAACTGTCTGTACATGCATGTAAAGGCAGCTTAACATGTAGAAGAGAACAAATTTTGGAAAATCAATTCTCTCCTTCCACTTTGATTTTTCCTTCTCCAGCCCCTGTGGAATTCACTATCGACCACACTGATCTCAGTCTCCCAGAGCTCCACCTGCCTCTGCCTGAGGACCTGGGGCTGAAGATATACACCACTACACTGGGCTTTGAAGCATGGTTTCCAGTATTTATGAATCGAATTCTGCTGCTAGTCTTCACACTTCCTGATTCCAAGTACCAAGTGCTGGGATTACAGATACCATCACTAAATTTAGGTTGTCAGGCTTGCAAAGTGTTAGAAATAAAATCTGAGGTCCAAGGACCCCACCGATATCATGTAAAGAACACATGGACAAAGCAAAAGTAACTCAGTGGGGCAGCTTTTACTTTTGCATCAGGATGCACTGTTGTTACTCAGACGGAGCAAGTAAGTACAGGCAACCTGGACGTTTTTAACCTAACACTAGAGTAGTGTACCTTTTTCCCATCAGCTGTGGTGCAACCTCATAGTCTTTCTAGGTTGGCTAGTTGAAAACAATCTGGGAAAAGAGGGTTGGCCAAAGAGAGGGAAGGGACCCACCACCCCAGGCCATCAGGTTTGGGAATGCAACAGGACTTTTAATAAAAGTCACGTAAGGGTAGGAGTTTGTGTGAGATTAAACATTAGAATCCCTCATTATGAACCAAAAGTTTCACAGATTTGAAAGAAAAGACTAGTATTCAGTGTTTCTTAAACAAAACAAGTAATTTTACCCACTGAGCTCAAAACATGTCATTTCTTCATTTATTACCTGCCACTTTTTTTTTCTTTTTGGTCGTTTTTGAAGCAGGGTCTCCCTGTAGCCCCAGCTGACCTGGAACTCACTATGTAGACCAGGCTGACCTT